TTGTTACTACTAGTAAGGCACTTGTTACTAGAAGCGATGCACTTGTTACTACTAGCTTCTTTGTTCCTAGTAGCGTCCTTGTTACTACCCTGAACTAGTGGCTTCTTGCGGTTAGGAGCCCCGTTCGTAGCTTCTTGCTCCGTTCGTAGCGATGCCCTTTGCTCCTAGTAACTAGTAGCCTCCAACCTAATAGCCATGGCCTATGATAGATTATGATAGGATCAGTGGCACATGGTGTTGTAGAAATTGTGCCTTTGGCCACTTACACATCATTTTTGAATACCTGCATGCTATTGTGGGATCCACATTACTCTTGTAAGATAACGATCCAAGAAATTGTATTCTTATCTCCTACGCATGTATGAAGAGGTCTTTGTCAGATTGACCATGAAACTCTGTTGCAGCGGACTTACTCTGTCAACTCAGGGGTATTCAGTAGCACTGTAGCGATGTCCAAAATGTCAGCGATGCAAATCACAGAACTTGTCATCTTGTCTGATGTGAGCACTAGGCCTCCGTACGGACAACGAGTGGAGGGTGTTTCCTCAAAGCTAGCGGAAGCTGACTCATAGCGTGGGGGAGTTTGTTGAAGTGTGGGGTGCTCAAACACACTTCCCACCAAAATCGGGACGTGTCTTCTTGCAAACGGTTGTAATTGGATGGTGAAGTTCAAGTGACCTGTTTCAAATGACAGGGAATAGAAAATTAATGAACATGAAGCATATATTGGAAGCTACTTTGACACTGCCACACAGGGTCGGAGATCAATGATTTTGCCTGTCGAGAGTCCATGAGGCATCGCTTGATCTGCCAGGTCTTCTCTCCCACCTTGCGAGGGTTGCCGCTGTGGTAAGTGCCCACTCAACTCTGTCAGTCAAGTTTCCCCCAAAATCTAGGAACCAAATCATTAGTGCGAGCGTGAGCTATCCTGCGTCCAGTAGGTAGCAGCGTCCAAGTATATAGCTACAAGCGAAGGGTATAGTTAGGGGCCTACTTAATTCAGGAGGCAGAGCCACGGGCTGCAAAAGGGGATGCTAGTAAGAAGCTACGAGGGGCTCCTGGCCTTACTACTAGGAGCAAGGACGCTACGAACGGGGCTCCTGGCATCGCTACTAGGAGCAAGAAGCTAGTCAGGCGCATGGTATCCACACCGGGACCTTCTTGGAAACGCAGAACGAGCTACGCTCAGCGTTTCCAGTCGTCTGAAAATGAGGGTAGCATATATGCATAACAGCGAACAGTGCTCCTAGTAGTAAGGCCAGGAGCCCCGTTCGTAGCAATGCCCTTGCTCCTAGTAGCTTCTATATAATACTATATGCATATATCCAGATGCTACCCGCATCCCACAAACCTATATACCCCTATGATAATGCATTGTGTTCGAGGCTGACAAGCACATCCAAATGACATGCTGTGGCTCACATGTGGATTTGATGTTGTGTATCTATTCTTTTTCAGCAGATGCATGTGGCGCATGAAAATGAAACGTAAACCATCGGATGACATATATACAATCACGTACACAAACTTCTGCATGGACCATGCGACAAGCTCACCAGATGCAACCCACAGGTCTTGGCCCTTGTTCCGGTACTGACCAAAACTCTTGGAACGAAGCTTTGCAGAACCGACCCATTTGGAATCTGTGGGAGGGGGGGGTCCGTGTGAGAATCACAGCGTCTGGGGGTCCCTCACGGATCTGGGCGATCGAGGAGTCCGCCATGGCGTCTCCCTACACGACCTCAGCTGTGCCGAAATCATTCGCGGGAGCGTTTAATTTTGTAGCGATGGCCTCCAACAATACTAGAGATGGCCTCCAACCCATTAGAGAGGAAGCTTTTTCAATCGTTTGCTGTTTGCAACAGTCTTGCCCTCAAAAAAAAAGTATTCAAATCCACTTCGTGGACCAAAAGTCCCATGCGCTGCATCGACAGGTGCCTCACTTATCGGGATATGCAGTCCGTGTCGTGTATGATCGCTGATCAGGACACGACCACGAGGCGTACGACGGCGGTTTGACGCTGCCCCAGCTCTCCTGTGAAATTCAACAGCTCAGTCAGCGATGCTGAAATCACAAACAAAAAAGCGCTTGAACATGTGACATGTTTCTTCTCTGGGCGCCACGACCCTCTTTTTTTGTGCCAAAGGGTCTGTGCAACATCCGAGGGACACGCAGGCTCACAAGAGGTTACGGTCGCAAAACAAGACCTGGCAGTTCTTCATGTAGGCACCAAGGACCTTTCGGACTGACATGTTCATCACAAATGTGAGCCATTTGTGAACTGTTTTAGGAGTGCGCAAGTTTCCGATGCAAAGTTCACTGGGGAGCCGGCAGTGTCCCAGAAGCCACCGTGACCCACAAAAGCAATCCCTTAGCTGAAGAAACGGACCCAGAGGCTCATTCAATTAGTAATCCTCAACCCTGTAAAAGGCATAGTTACTTGGTTCAATCAAGTGTCGAAGGAGATTCCAAGACCACCCACCATCACCCATCTTGGCCTTCAACCCCAAATCATTAGTGCGAGCGCTTCTTCAAGGAAGCTCCCCCCACCCTCAGGCGCGGGGGAGCTTTCTTGAAGAAGTGTGAGTAATCCTGCGTCCATGTGTAGTAGCTTAAGTAGCTAGTAGCCTGCTTACTCCCCTAGTTAATTAAGTAGGCGCCTACTGAATTAAAAACACATTGATGTCATCTTATTTGGTCCAAGCGTCGATCCTGTGGCATCTCTCGTACTTTGGCCACGAAGGCCTCTGCACGCGCCCATTGATCTTCTCCAGGTTGAGTCCACCAAACTTCCTCCAAAGCATCCCATCCTCGGATAGATGAACGATGGATCTATCGGAATTTATTCTCAAATGTCCCAAGTCAATTCATTGAAACAAGTCATAGCCTCACAGATCCAGCTAAAGCACCATTCCATGTGCTGAAGTGCTCCAAACCGGGCAAACTTTTCAGAAGCAGCTCTGACTTAGGCGTCCCCTCATCACATGGAGCGCTCCATCGTTCGGTGATTCCAGCATCCACATGGACAGGTACACTGCAGTCACCCATCAGCAGCCCAGCCTGGTGCATTCAACATCTTTCATCCAACAACTCTGTTGTTCGCACATTCACTTCAAGGGCACAATGAAAAAGGTGTTCACTTGGCTAGTTACAAGATGTTACAAGCACTATAAGGTAGCTAAGTTCACAAACCCACCTGTTCATACCTGTTCAAGACCTACCGGAAGGGTGATGTCCAAGACCTACCTACCGGTCTAGGCAGTTCCGTTCTGTTCGGCCGTTTGTTCGTTTGCAACTCCCACTCGGCCCGTTGCGCATCGCTCGACTCGGCTCCAAGTGGCTGTCTGCATCGCTCGAGTCAGCGGGCTGGTCACAAGAAGCTCAGCCGCGCGGACCGTTTCGCCTGCAGGGCCCTCTCTTCCGCGCAAGGCTTGAGCAACTCCTGAACAAGAGCGAACCAAGCACAAGCGATGGCCTGCAACCTAATATCGATGGCCTCCAACCTACAAGCGATGGCCTCCAACCTACAAGCGATGGCCTCCAAGCAATGGTAATATCGATGGCCTCCAACCTAATATCAATAACCTCCAACCTACAAGCGACAGACTCCAACCTAATATCAATGGCCTCCAACCTACAAGCGATGGCCTCCAACCTAATATCGATGGCCTCCAACCTACAAGCGATGGCCTCCAACCTACAAGCGACAGACTCCAACCTAATATCGATGGCTTCCAACCTACAAGCGTTGGCCTCCAACCTAATATCGATGGCCTCCAACCTACAAGCGATGGCCTACAAGCAATGGTAATCCGCCGGCCCTGGGGCACGGCCTGTTTTGGGTAGTTGGTTTTTTGTTAGTTCTTTGTTAAGCTATGTCTTGTCTGTTTTAGTGCTCCCCCGGGCGGATTTTTGAACGGTCTAACCTGCCCCCCCCCCCCCCCCCCGGGTTGGCGGAACAATCCGCAGGAGTAAATATCAATCGCCTCCAACCTAATATCGATGGCACCATCGATGGCCTCCAACCTACAAGCCACAGACTCCAACCTAATAGCAATGGCCTCCAACCTACAAGCGATGGCCTACAAGCAATATTAATATCGATGGCCTCCAACCCACAAGCGATGGCCTCCAACCTAATAGTAACTCAGCCAAGTCGAAGTACGAGCCTTCACAAATCACATTGAATTGAAATTGACCGTGCTCCTGCAACGATCTGGACAACTCCCGATACCTGAAGATTGAAATGAATCATGATCATATTAATCCATATTAATATTACTATTAATACTAATATTAATATACATATATAATATACTAATATCCGCATATATCCGCATCGTCTCACCATCTCGATCATCTATATCCTCTCTGCCTTCATCGGTGAGCGCGTTGTCCGGGTTCATGATCAATGCCTTTTCCACATTGTGACCCGCTTGCGCATGGCGGATGAATGCCACCCAACGACTTTCTCGAGCTGATGGAACTTCCTCCAAGGTCTTGAAGTAGCGCAGTGTCACTGGCTCTTCAGCGCTGAACCCAGTGTTGTCCACCAATTCCAGTCGAAATTGTTTCCTCAAAGCCATGAGAACATGATAATGATTGTCTTTTTTTTAAGGGATGATGGCGGCAAAAGTTTATCTCTCCCAAGATTTCTCTCCTTTATCAAGCAAATACGAGTACAACCCTCCCCAAAAAATACACAACAACAACAAAAGTAAGTATAGGTGTTAGTCTTTAAGCTATGATCCACACACCGGGCACCGGATCACAGCCCAGCGTGCCGGGTGAGGTGATGATGGGTCGCTTGGTCTCCATCAGCCGTCGCACCGCCTCGCTGCACTCGGCGCCGACGTGCTCCGCGTCGCGCCAGGCACCGGACGGCACTCCGAACCAGGCCCGGCGGAGGTTCTCCGGGCCACCTGGGACGTGCCTGGAGGGCGGGCTAGATTCGTTCTTGAAACGAAAGGAATACAACACAAACACAAACACACACACACACCAAAAAGAAACAACACTTTAAGCAACATAACTATTCGACTGTATTATTAATCGATATCAAAAAGCACGGGCGATGCATCCAAAAAGTTGAAATGACGTCAGTAATTAAATGGATTGCAGAGATGAAGGCATTCTTCCACGACTCTTTGGCAATAGCTAAGCCGCCCAGATGCAGCTTAACATTCTCATAGCACTGCAGGGTAGTCTGATTTGCCCAAACGAGCTGCGGCTCCACGGTGAAGCCTTTGAGGACTTCAAACTCTTCAGCACCCGGAACCTGCATTCTCTTGCATGTTGTAGGTTGGAGGCATCGCTCTTAAAGGTTGGAGGCATCGCTCTTAGGTTGGAGGCCATCGCTGTTAGGTTGGAGGCCATCGCTTGTAGGTTGGAGGCCGTCGCTGTTTGGTTGGAGGCCATCGCTTGTAGGTTGGAGGCCATCGCTGTTAGGTTGGAGGTCATTGCTATTAATTAGGTTGGAGGCCATCGATATTAGGTTGGAGGCCATCGCTCTTAGGTTGAAGGCCATCGCTTTTAGGTTGGAGACCATCAATATTAGGTTGGAGGCCATCACTGTTAGGTAGGAGGCCATCTGTTGCCATCGCTTTTAGGTTGGAGGCCATGTCTAGCACGCTGGAGGCAATCGCTCTTAGGTTGGAGGCCATCGCTGTTAGGTTGGAGGCCATCGGTCTTAGGTTGGAGGCCATCTCTAGTACCTTGGAGGCCATCGCTCTTAGGTTGGAGGCCATCGCTCTTAGGTTGAAGGCCATCTCTAGTACAGGTTGGAGGCCATCTCTAGTACGTTGGAGGCCATCGCTCTTAGGTTGGAGGCCATCGCTCTTAGGTTGAAGGCCATCTCTAGTACATTGGAGGCCATCGCTGGTTGGAGGCAATTAGGAGGCCATCGCTCTTAGGTTGGAGGCCATCGAAATTAGGTTGGAAGCCATCCCTCTTAGGTTGGAGGCCATCGCTCTGAAGTAGGATGCCATCGCTGTTAGGTTGGAGGCCATCGCTCTTAGGTCAGAGGTAATCACTCTTAGGTTGCAGGCCATCGCTATTAGGTTGGAGGCCATCGCAAGTAGGCTGGAGGCCATCGCTATTGGGTTGGAGGCCATCGCTATTAGGTTGGAGGCCATTGCTATTAGACTGGAGGCCATCGCTATTAGGTTGGAGGTCATCGCTCTTAGGTTGGAGGCCGTCGCTCCTAGGTTGGAGGCTGTCGCTCTTAGATTGGAGGCCATCGCTCTTACGTTGGAGGCCATTGCTGTTAGGCTGCAGGCCATCGCTCTTAGTTTGGAGACCATCGCAGGTAGGCTGGAGGCCATCGCTATATAGTAGGTTGGCGGCCATCGCTGTTACGAGTAGGTTGGAGGCCATCGCTCTTAAGTTGGATGCCATCGCTGTTAGGTTGGAGGCCATCGCTCTTAGGTTAGAGGTGATCACTGATCACTCTTAGGTTGGAGGCCATTGCTATTAGATTGGAGGCCATCGCTATTAGGTTGGAGGCCATCGCAGGTAGGCTGGAGGCCATCGCTATTAGGTTGGAGGCCATCGCAAGTAGGCTGGAGGCCATTGCTATATAGTAGGTTGGAGGACATCACTGTTACGAGTAGGTTGGAGGCCATCGCTCTTAGATTAGAGGTCATCGCGCCTAGGTTGGAGGCAATTGCTGTTAGGTTGGAGGCAATCCCTCTTAGGTTGGAGGCCATCGCTATTAGGTTGGAGGTCGTCGCTCTCAGGCTGGAGGCCGTCGCGCCTAGGTTGGAGGCCATCGCTCTTAGATTGGAGGCCATCACTCTTAGGTTGGAAGCCATTGCTGTTAGGCCGGAGGCCATCGCTATTAGGTTGGAGGCCACCGCAAGTAGGCTGGAGGCCATCGCTCTTACGTTGGAGGTCATCGCTGTATAGTAGGTTGGAGGCCATCGCTATTGC